CTAGCAACATCCTTCTCCAAAGCATGGGGTAATCTTTCTTCATTCCTGTCTCCTGGGTGGACTAAAATCAGGGATGGGGCTGGGGTTTGTGGGGGTTTTGAGCTTTGGTTTGTAGTGGTTGTTTCCTGGGTTTTAAGGCTATTATTTGGGTAAAAATGAGGGGTTGTGTTTGGCCAATAAAAGGGGACAAGGCTGGGTAATATTAGGGGTGGTTTTGGACATATGGGTTTGGGTTATTGTGAGGAAAACATGGGCAGGAATGAGTGGCTAGTGGTGGGGTAGGGTTTTGGCTCTTTGTGGGTGTTTATGTTGGGTTGTGAGTTTTCATTGGCCAGGAAATAAAAGGAAGGAAGGGAAGGTTCTACTTGTTTATTAAAAGGCTTAAAAGAAGAAAAATAACAACAAACAAAAGATTTTTGGTTTGCACACTCTTATTTTTGGCCAGGGGCTAAAATAAAAGTAATAAAAACTTTATTTTGAAATGAAGTAAATGGCAAGGAGTTTTGGATATTATGGGTTGGATTGGACAGAGTGGGAGTCGGCCTGTGGACCCTTGGGTCCGAAGTTATTCTGGCCTCTTGGGTTGAAGGACTCGGAATTCTCACTAAAACGGATCATAATGTTTGAACGTAAGTCCTTTGGTTTTTGCGAGGGTGTGGGACATGGGGGAGGGTATCATAGGGCTAGGCCCAGATATAACAGCATATTGTATACTCTTTGGTCTAGTGACGGATTTGTTTTCAGAATAATGCTAAACTCGTCAGTAGTGTTCATCTCCTTCAAGCTGTGGAAGAATTTGGCATATGGGTTTTTAGCTAGACTTGTGAGAATAATATCTATGACTTCTTTGTCCATCCGTGTGCCATGACAGTGTAACGTTTCTTCTGATATTGTGTCTGTATCATAGAAATACAATTGTAAATTTCTTGGCGGGCATCCATCTGACAACATGTCATTGATGAAATGGTATATCTGTCCTTGTACTTTGAATGTGTAAATGCCTTTATTTCTGCGACATAGGCTTGCATCATAGTTATGAATTCCAATTGAAGTGAAGGCGAAAGTGTTGTTGTATGTTCTGACGCATGTTTGAAAATGTCTTGATGCGTCATTTGTGCCAGAGAATAGATCTTTTAACACTGATGGAGTAGCCGGATTTGAAAGTACTATTTGGCCTTTTGCACAGCAAAATGTTGGTGGTTCATTTATGAAACGTTGTGCTCCACAGTACACGCAGTCTGGCGCCGCCTGTAACTGGTATGTAGCAATATGCTCTGTGTTGCTGTACGAGTTTATCTCTCTTGGGATAGTTGGCTGGCTGTTTCCTGATGATGATCCTGAAAGTTTTTGTGGTTATTTTAAATATGTATATGTCCTTGTGGATGTATAATAGATCGTGGGTTATTTGAATTCAAACCTTCTGTTGTTTGTCTTGATTGGTTTCGTGGTCGTCCTCGAGGTTTCTTTTGCGGGACTCCTTCAGTGTGTAGGGATGTTGTTGCTTCTGCCTCATTTGCTTTTTCGTTGTAAGCTAATCTGCGCCTGAAGTTTCTTTGATCTAATCTTTCACGTTTTGACTTTTGACTCCGCGTTTGCGGCATAGCTCTGTTCCTGTAGTAATGTATGGCTTTATGTATTAGAATTGGGTGAAGGTAATACATTTGGTGTATTTTCGATGAAATTATTACGTGTTATAAACTATCGGAAGCATAGTTCAAGTGGGTTTTTTTAAATTTAACGATATGATTTTTAAGACGAAAGTTTATGATAGAGGTATGTGGAGAATTTCAGTTAGTGCAATTATAGTTTAACATATCAAAGTTGAAAGTATAAGAACACATTAAGAATATGGAGACTACTAAATACCCAAAAAAATATGTAGTAAAACGAGATGTAATATTATTTGTTTTGACTTGTTAATGTTTTTTTTCAAAGGAAGTGCAATTTTATTGATAGTTTAAAGTACTGGAGTGTTTTGTTCCCAACAATCTGATCATACGTGGACTGCATTGTATAGTTTTGGTACACACCTAAGTGAACAGGTTCTTTTTCATTGTATAGTCGAATTATAAGTTCATCGAAGTTGTTAATAACTTAATAATTCTTTGAATAATGTATATATTGTCTCCCCCCCCCCACCAACTCTCCCGCACCCCACACTTGTTGCTCTGTGTTTTTTGTTCTTTAATGAGCAAGATATGCGATGATTTGTAATCCTCTTACGGTTGAATAGTATAAAATCTGCTTCAAATAACTTAAAATAGACGTTTTTAAAGTTTTGTTTGTAGTTTAAATGAATAATCTGATTATTATGAGTATGTTTTTATTTGGTTTTATCTACCTGATTGAAAATTGGGAGTACTAATAAGTGAGCCTGAATTAAATAAATGAAGACACATATTAGAGCCTAGGTATTACCTGACAACTTAAGATGGAGAAAGTGTTTGAAAATTGAGAAATTTAAACATTGTTCACAAGAATTAATAATTTAGGACATTATATTTTGTAATTGATAAATGTAGTTTGAACATTGTATGTTTGTAGTGGGAATAACACCCCTTTATTCAGTGAGTGTAATGGTTGGATATTACATTTTTGTACACATACATGGAGTTCAGACACTTTGAAACTTTTAAATATTTAAATATAGTTGTACAGTGATTAAAAAAAGGCAGCATTATTAAGCACGATTTATTAAGACAAAATTTGTGGGTTACAAAATATAAGGTTTAATTATGTGGAGCAAGGAGTAGGCTGTTGAGACCAATTAAAATATATATTGGACATGGATAAAATTAAGATAAAAAGGAGTAGGCTGTTGAGTAGGCTGTTGAGACCAAGGGAGCATTATTAAGCACGATTTATTAAGACCAATTAATATACCTTTGTTATCATGATTTGTCTTGTCAAGGATGTTTTGGTTTGGTTTACAAAATATGGTGATGTTGAAATAACATACTGCACGTAGAAGCAAAAAATGCTGATGTTTCCAGCAAAAAAAGCTGACGGTAAATATTAATCGTGTAAACATTATTGAAATACCTTGACTGTCAGAGTGATGCAGTGGATTTATTCTTCTAAGAAATACAATTTAAGGAATTCATGTTGGTAGTTCTAATTTTCTGTTCCTATGAAAAATTTGATTGACAGTATTGGAATGTTTATGATTCCTTCATACTCAAAGACAGGCCCAAACCGCAAATAAACGGAACTTGTGCCAGGCCAAAGACCTAAAACCTTTAGATTAGAATTACAAAGATACGTGAAACTAAAGTTTTAATCAGCAATATTTGTTACGTAATATATTCCCTGTTCAGTATATATTCTTATTGCTCTTAAGAACCTAAACTTTAAGGTAGAAAAAGGTTTTATGGTGAATGAAAATGCTATTCGATTTAATTTGATTATAATATGTGTTTAAGTATAATGAATACTATAATACCTGATGAATCAACTTTTGCTTCCCTTGTTTGCTATTGTCCCCAATCTTTAACGCAGGAAGTGATAAAATTCTGATGAGCAGTGATTGTGCTTTTCAAGAATGCCTTGCTTTGCTTGAAGGGAGAATCTGGTGTTTAAATTAGACAAGTCTAAACAGAATGGAACATGAAGTTTATGGTAAAAGTATTGGGTGTTAAGATTGTATGAAGGTTTATTCGTATATAGGCAAGGAAGAACTAAGTTCTGGATGTATGATTTTATAGGGTTCTGATAGGATATTTGAAAAGCAGCAATGAAAATCCTGATTTTGAAAATTCAAATTTCAAACGATAATAAACTGACATTTCATTTAATTAGAGTTAATGTGAATATTATTGGTGTAAATAGGCATTTATTGGTATCCTTTAAATTTTGTTTACTCATTAATGTTATTTGAATTATTTTGAATATGGCAGTTACTAATACAAAATGAATGGCACATTTCCAGGTTATTCTACTTTTATTTGATGCTGGTGATTATGTTGGAGTTCATCGTACCTGAACATGTCACCATTTCCTGCTTTTTTGTATTATAACGTATTGCATGGATTACCCCTGCGGCGTAAAAATCATTAACAAATAATATGTCTAGTATTTTAATGTGGAAAAAGCTTGGTAAAGAAACAGGGTTTGGCTTCGAACCATATTATTTTCGGATGAGAATAGGTCTAATCAAGAAGACAGGTTTAAGTCATTATTATCACAAGAATCTTTGCTTCAACAAAAACATCTGGCCTCTGCACAAGAAATATGAGTGCGAGTATACTTATCATTTACTACGCACAGCGTGAGAAATGTTATGATATTAATTACATGAGTAAAAGAAGAAAGATAGTCCAACTTGAGGGTCATACAAAAAACTTTAGAGCTATCTTTAGTAGTGCATATGTTTTGGACTGGCAGCGGCTGTTCAGCGTGAATGCATGCACTTGAAGTTGACATATATTTGTAGCGTTGTTCCGTTCGGTGCACAAATTTTAGTGGCCGATTAAAATTTAGGAATGTGTTTGTTGGGCAATTTTTCTGTCTAGTTTTGCTTGTGTTTATAAGTCAGCATAATGTTTGTTTAAGTGAATGGATGACATGAAGCAATGGTTATAGTTTGAATATACGAACATACAGTGCAATTCAAATTCTCACATGGTGTAGATATATATATATATATATATATATATATATATATATATATATATATATATATATATATATATATTTGAATAATGAGTTGTTTATAATTTTATTTAATGTTATTTGTTAAATTTATCTCAGTGAAACGAGAAAGGAAAAAGACGTAGTAACCATATCGCAATGAGAAGTTATACCCTGTGCAGTTAGTAATTTTTATATTGTCAGTGAGAAGATAGTAAGGTAAATATGAAGCAAAAATAGTGCACACCTATTTCTTTTGGTCATCAGAAAAAGACATAGCATTTGAAACATGCCCAGCCTTCAGAACATATTCCTCCTGTATTGACATTCAGCATACATCAGTGAAGTGTAAAATAAACTATTATCCAGAACAAACAATGGTTTACGGGTTTTTACATGTGTAGCACTATCTTTAGAACAGAAAACCTAAAAAAGTGAACCTCATAAACTGCAGCAACTCCGTTTTTGCTCTTTTTATCATCCTGCATCAAATTAAAAGAAAAAGGTCATGGATGTTACCATCACTTTAGTCACTAAAGAATCCTGAGGAGTGGGAAAGACACATTGTTGAATAACAATAGCAACAAAGCCTAATCCCACTACGTCGGGTCATCTACACGCATTGTTGCATAAACGACATTAAAAACTCAAAAGGGTATCAGTCCTAAGATAAATTCACTGCCAGTTCATTCATTTCTCTTGGCGTTCGGGATGGCAAAGTAGAAGGCTTCTGAACGTCATCGAATTCTTCCTGCAACTACCCATAGTATAAATGCTGCCATTGCCTTGCCAACCCACTCCCTACATTTCATTTCCAAATTGCTAATTTTACGTACAGCTTATAGTTATACTCTATAAGTAAATAAAAAGGGATCAGAACTTAATTATAAGACTGGCATGTATATTATTAGAAGGGTTATCACAAGAACCATGGAAGTGGTTCTTGGCCTTTTCCCGTGCGATAATCTCTTGGAAACGAGGCACCAAGGCTCCAAATGGTTTGACAAGACCCTGCAGCCAAAAGGTATATTATGTGTTGTGGTTCCTTTAGAAGCAATCAACAATGCCATACCGAGTATGATATAGTATTACATAATTGTCTTCCGAAACAGAAACTTACTTGAAGAGCCAGAATATTGTGAGCAATTCCTTCTTCTCTGACTCCCTGAACGGTAGCTTTAGCAACGTTTATTTCTTTTTCTTCCTCCCTTGCTTGAAAAATTGCATCCTCCAGGGATGAAACATTTTCAGGCAGAGCTAATAAGGGGCTGCTGCTTCCCTTGGCATCATCCATTATCATCTCTGTCTCTGTAGAGGATGTTGATGGTTGGGAGACACTAACAGTCTTCAAGATTGAGCTTGCACTGCATGGATGATAAATATTGTGCATCTTCAAACTCCCTGCAAGCTCTTTAAGGACATAATCACCTTTGGGTAGCTCATCTAGCAAGTTGAAGATTAAGAAGCCTTTGGGGAGGGGAGGTGAACTTCTTAGCATTTCCCTAGCAGCATGAAGCCTTATTATTCCTAATATTATTCTGGCATGCATTTCCCATGATTCTACCTGGGATTGGACCTCGAAATTCATCATGAACTTGTGAAGCAACATAATTTCTTTCACAAGTGCAAGCCAGTGTTCACGTCTTGTGGAGCTTGTTATTTCTGGAAATTCTAGGACAACACCTTGCCTGCATGCAGGTTATCCAAATACATGGGCATGCACTCATATTCCAAACACCCAATCCATATATGCATATTTCATTACTGACTTGAACTTGATTTCATGATTTTGAATGATTATATACATTAGATCTCTAATGTCTCATCAAAACTTTTAGGTCATGCCCTTTATTAATTTTAATTAAATTGCAGAGAAAAAGCCAGGACTTCAATTGCAGTAGTACGCGTACATTTGCTTGAAAAAGGACGTACTTACAGTTGGGAAGATTGGTACACTATGGCTTTGTCAAAGAGAGGAGCACCCCATAGACCAGTCGCGACTGGGTTTACACTTTGGTCATTGTCCTTGGAGAGGTCAAGCCTAAGAGCATCTTCGTATGAAATGATTCCAGAAGCCTCAAAGTAGAGAGCATAGTTTGTCAATGTCAACCTACCTAGAAAATGTGTGCGTGGTGTTGTGTAACCTTCTTGAAAATGATTGTCCTTACAATGGAAATGAGAGTAAAATTGCATCAATAATAGAGAAGATCAAAGGCGGGCGGCATACCAGGCCAACTTGTTCCTCCAATATGCCGCACAACTCTCTGCGATGTCGCGGTTCCTTCCACGTGCAGTATAAACTCATTTTCCGCGAGTTCTATGCCGGTTGGTTTGGCTTGTTTCTGCAAATGCCTTAAGCATCTTAAGGAAACAGAAGAGAAATATGATGTAGTTATTGTACACAAAAAACAATACTTTCAATTTATTTGGAGTCAAATAAGCAGTACAGTTTTCAAAATAATAATTACTTGTCAATCTGTTTCAAGAACACATTGTGGGCAGGATAGTGGAGCGTACTGCCAGAAGAAGCTGTAAGAGTCTCGAAAGTAAAGCGTGCGTTCACGACATCCGCTGTCACCGGTATAAGCGTTGCTAGCCACACAAATGCATCTTCACCAACACTTGGCTCCTCATCAACCTGTCAATACATTTTATAAAATAACAACCTAAAAAAAAATCAAACAACATATAATAGGAGTACCATTTAACACACCAAGTTTAATCTTGTTATATGTTTGTTGGTTCCAAAATAAACTTCTCACTTCCTTATTTGGGCCAACCAAAAAAAAAAAACTTCCCATGTCTTTAAAAGGAAAATATTGTGTTAGTCTTATATCATGCACTACTTCATTTAAATTTAAGTCACATGGACCACCACATATCAGAGCATACCCCACCCTTGTCATAAAAAAAATATCTTAAACTTTGTGCCATATTCAAATGGGAACCTTAATATAGGACAGAGAGAGTAAAAAGGTGAATTTAAGACTCAAATTTCTTGACAAATTAAGTATAAAAGCACAATTTTGTAAAGGGAAAAAATATAAAACAAAGGTGAATATCAAATCTCTCTAAAGAACAAATCCTACATACAATGTTAAAAGATTACTGACATTATAGCATTAAATACACAAAATTTGCAAGGGCAATCACCTCAACAATCAGTTTGCGGATCAATTCTTCTAGAGACAAAGTAACTTCCTCTGTAATCACTGGTGCCAGTCTCATATTGTGCTCAAAACCTAAATCAACCTCAAAGGCAGTATTTTTTTGGCCTTCTGGAAGCAGTTACCTGACATTTAGGGCTAAAGTATTGAGTACAATTTCAGATGAATATAAGCATATTGAGACTTAAGAAAACCACAAACAATATTTAACCTCTCCTTCAATAGTCCTTGGTTTTGGTTCTATGTTTTCTTTCTCCATTTCCTCTATTGTAGAACGCAATTTCCTCATACCAATACACAGGAATTTCATTCTGTCAGGTATAGTAAAATATATAGATAATACTCCATAGTACACACTATGACTATGTGATTGCTAGCCCAATTCCCTATTTCCCTAAAGAAAAGAGGTTTCTAGACATTGACTTGTCTCAAAGTGGCAAGTCTTGGTCTAAGTCTCATTTTTAGTCTATGGGCAGCTCCAGGATTACTCAGCGATCTTAATCTATTTTAATCTTCGTGTCCTGTTTGAGTATAACAAGCTTAGACCTATACTAATGACTAAAACTCACTCCTTAAAGTAAACATATTGTTACTTTCCCCCACAAGCTACACCTCAAAACATTATACAGGAGATGAACCACACAAACCAAATATCATTCCTCCATTAGAAGCATTATAATTAGGGCAGAAAATAATGGTGGCACACATATCTTTAAGTACTTCCCCAAGGTATAATAGAACATGATTTTGTAATTGTCTGGGCGTGGTCACTGCAGCCACTAATTATATATACCTAATTCATTAATTTCTTTAAGCTGTTCACTGCAGGTACTGGCCTGCTATTGCTGCATCATTACATAATTGTTTTGGCCTTGTTTAATATTCATATGATAAAAGTAGAGTAAGAGTTGCCTGAGGTGCAACCAAGTTTCCTTAACCATATGCATTAAAAATCATAATTTAACCAGAATGAGACAGCTTGTGATACTGGCAGTCCTATGGACGTCTACAATTATGAGAGAGGAATATTTTTTGTACTCCTACATTTCTTATCATCAGAGGCATTATGAGTTTGAGTTACTGACAGGGGATTTACCTATGACATCCCATGCTTGGTTATTAAGAAAGCCCAGAAAACTACATCCTTAAGGTTAATAATTATGAAGAGTTCATCATGACTTTGTTGTACGTTTTCCACTAAACTGTGTCCGGCAATTCTTGATTTCCGCTTGTGTACTTCAAGCATATGGTTGAATCACCATCAACAATTCACAACTCCTCAAGGGTATTACCACATATATAATTCAATATGTGAGCATAAACGATAGTGTGCTGTGAGAGTGTCTAAGGTCTAAAAACACCCGAACGTAGCAACCTTCGCAACTCACAGGGATAAGTAAAGAAATGTCTACGCAACAGAAATAACAGCAAGTTTCTCCATTCACTCTTGTTTACCTGTTTCCCTTTAATATAGTGCTTATTAATATAACCATAAATGAAACAGGCATATTTAGTCTAATCTTTGAAAGTGATTGGACCATTTCAACTCCTAATGGGGGAGGGCATAGTATACCCTAAGTTTTCGCTTTCAAAAAAAGTGGCCACATATGAAGTACATACCTATAAATTCAGTTACTGACAATAACAAAACCATGAAAAGTATTTATTATTTATTCTAAAGATCTGGGAATGATCCTCATCTGTTTCAAACAAAAGTGAACAAAGGAAGCTGTAAAACATTATTTAAAACACAGACTTTGAATTCTTTAAGTGTTAAACCCTAAGAGTATCATGTTTTGCGTTTCTTGGATGGCTTTTCTTGTGGGCTTCCTTTTTCAAGGGGTGGATTTATATCTCCTTCAAGCTGCTGAATTGTGCCATCGGAGCTCAAGGTTTTTATATTACTTCCTTCAATACTCGTTCCCTCATCATTTCCTCCGCTTCTTTCTTCAATGGCAGGATTTATAATTCCTTCATGCTCCTCCAAAGCCTCATCAAAGGTCAGGGTTCTTATAATACTGCGTTCCGTACTGGGTCCCTCACCATTTCCTTGTACGCCCACTGACTGTGACACCTTAACATTTTCACAAACACCATTTATAGTGTAAGTCTGCTTGCTCTTTCCAGGAAACTGTCTTCTGTCAAGTCGTACTTCACAAAAAAACTTCTTTCCATCCAGCTTTGCTTGAAGTTTAGCAATGTCAATTGATCCTGATCGATGAATAGTGTTTGTGATCTGCAACAGGCGGTTGAAATCTTCATCAAAAATTGTTCCTACTATTTGTCCCGTTTCATCTGTCAACTCAACTTCAATCTTGTACCTAAAATTGGACCGAATAACTTAATGTAAACTGTAATGTAAACATTGTAGGTGATTATAAACTATTTAACAATACTCACTTCTTTTCAGCGCGTGCATGAGGATTGCCACAATCCAAACATCTATAGTTTCCCCCTTCTGGCCCACAGACTTTTCGATTACAATAGTCACAGCCGATGTAGAAACTTGCAACGTCGTCTATAATTCGCATATCTACTTCCACCCAAACTCCTTTTTCCTAAATGCGGAGACATTAATTAAAATGTTTACGTGTTGCAACGAATGTTGTTTCAAAATCACAATTGTAGTGCTGATCCATGATTCATACCTGGATATTCATTTCGGGAATGTCAACAACTTTGGTCTTCGGTTGGCCAGGAGGGTATGCAAGCGCAATTAAGGCATTTTTATATGTCTTCAGGTTGATGTACCGCTTCAAAAGGTCAATGCTATCATCTCGCCTGTTAATGTTATTTATAAATTTTACATTCGTATTAACGGTTAAAGATGAATTTTTATAAAAAATAGTAGTACTTTGATACCATTTTTTTAGACTTTCAGATTTTGAATTCGTGGGATTGACTTCAAACATGGAATCAAATCGAGTAGATAGGGAAACACCTGTTATACTCCGTTAGCATGTAACAATGATTATGTAGTATACTTGTGTAAATATGTACGTTGGTAAATAATGTTTTACCATTAAAATTGTTGACAATAACCCTCTTCCCCAAAAATATTGGGAATCGGCCACTATCCAACACACATATGATTTCCTTCCCTTGATAAATGGCAAAATCGCCCCATAGCGTCAGTAGCATTGGTTTCATGCTAGTCAAGGAATCATTTAAACCGTTGGTTCTATGTAGCAAATTTTAAAAAATGCATTACGAGTGAAATTCCTTACTCTTCATTAACAATTGTGAAATCGTATGCTGTCTTTGCCGTCTCACGAACTGAAATATATTCTCTAGGCATCTTTTCAAGAACAACGGCCATGAAATCTAAATAAAAGGATAATGAAAAATGAATTACGATTCAAAAACTGTGGATTTCTTTAAAGATAAATTGAAATATATTACTTACTTATTGGAGTCTTAGTTCTGATAAGGTTGTAGAAGTCATAAAATGTTGTTACTGTATCTTCTTGCCCATTTAATATTTCAATTTGATCTGATTCAGGGGCTTTCTCAATATAAGTCTGCCTACTGAGCATCCAGATATATTTGTAATGTGGCGATGGCGGAGGGACATTATATTTACTTGGCAACACAACAGCATTACTTATGTTGTAAGTTTTATTTAAATCAAGTACTCGATCTACTTGATCAATGTCTCTGCTGTTTGCCATGGCAAAAACTTTTGTTCCCTATGTTTAATAGAGTACATAAATTAATAAATAAATAAACTAATCGAATAACTATAGTTGGTTTCATTCTTTGATACGATTACGAGAATATTACACTTACCTCTTGATCTTGCAAGATATAAGGTCTATACTTATTGGGACTAAACTGTGAATCTTTTATATTACGCTTCTCCACAACCCTAACCTTGCACTTCCATTCTAGGTTTTTGTCTTTAATATGCGTAATCATTTTTGTTGTTGTCATCCCTTGAACATTATAAAAACCAATCAACTAAAACAGGGGTAGTATATTGTGAATGGTTATTAATTTCAAGTCTAAAATAAGTTATCAAATATAATAAGAAAATACTTTTCAACTGATCAGTAATAAAAACAAATAAGCTTCAATCACCAACAAAGATCAGCAAATAATCCTTAATTAATCAACAAACACCACCAAGCCATCGTCAAATAGGCATCAATCACCAAGCCATAGCAGATTCAGCAAATAATAAAAGCAATATCGGGCAAAACAGTAAACCATCACAAAATAGCCAAATGACCAGCAATATGACTAAAGCAAGCACCCCAAGCCATCAACCATTCCCACAATCAGCAAAAGTGAAAAATCTGCCAAGGCAGCGGTATCAAAATCCCAGGAAAAGTTTTGGGCTGTAATCGTGAATTAGATCCCTCTTATTATACAAATGTAGAGTCTAACAGAAGGTATCATTTAACTCTCTCCCAACACCTCATGAAATGGTTTATGACTGCTAACAATACAAAGTTTGAAGGAAATCTTTAAGGAATTGTGTTGGGAATCATAGCTTGTGTTGATAGAAAACCCCAAAACCCAATCCCAAAAATAGACCCAGACACTTAACCCTAAACTCAAAACACAACCCAAAAACCACCCCAAAACCAATCCCCAAAAACCAGTCCCAATCACAAAACCCAAAACCTAATCCAGATTCTACCCAAAAGCAGACCCAAAATAATGCCCTGAGTCTCCCTTCAACGACTTTTTAATATTCTTTAGTGACCCGACAACCGTGATAGAAAACCCCAAAACCCCAACCAAAAAATAGATCCAAACACTTAACCCTAAACTCAAAACACAACCCAAAAACCAGCCCCAAAACCAATCCCCAAAAACCAGTTCCATTTAGTGGCACGACAACCCTGATAGAAAACCCGAAAACCCCAACCCAAAAATAGACCCAAACACTTAACCTGAATTTCAAAACACAACCCAAAAACCAGCCCCAAAACCAATCCCCAAAAACCAGTCCCAATCACAAAAACCAAAATCTAATCCAAATTCTACCCAAAAGCAGCCCCAAAATAATGCCCGGAGTCTCCCTTCAATGACTTTTTTATATTAATTTTAGTGACCCGACAACCCTGATAGAGAACCCCAAAACCCCAACCTAAAAATAGACCCAAACACTTAACCCTAAACTCAAAACACAACCCAAAAACCAGCCCCAAAACCAATCCCCAAAAACCAGTCCCATTTTGTGACCCGACAACCGTCATATAGAACCCCAAAACCCCAACCCAAAAATAGACCCAAACACTTAACCCTAAACTCAAAAAACAACCCAAAAACCAGCCCCAAAACCAATGCCCAAAAACCAGTCCAAATCACAAAAGCAAAAACCTAATCCAGATTCTATGGGCAGTGGCTTTGTTTTCCCATCAGCTCAAAACCTAACACCCAAAAAACATACACTCTAACCCAAACCTAGAACCTAACCCCAAGTAACCAAACCCAGCCTAAATAGGTTAAACCTGTAAACTATTAGTAAAAGCATAGCCAAGAGTAAACCTCTAACCAACAGTATTTGTTTCTCATATTTTGTCTTGTTCAATATATCTTGTTATTGCTGTCAGAAGCATACCCATTGTTATTCAGAGTTGCATTTTCAGTCAAGGGGGAAAAAATGGATGATCCAAGAAGCTGATTTGTGGAAAATGCTGAAACAAGACCTTGACCCAAACTCAAGACCTAAAACCACCAAACCAGAATTAAAACCATACCCATGATCTGCCACAATTTTTATTTACTTTTTGTTGACTTACACAACTTTGAGTGTCGTCAACAAAAAGTGCATCTTTTGGAAATGTTAGGCTTTTCGAAAACACCACTTCCAAAACACAGTCACAAAACCGACATAAAGACTAAAACCAAAAGTTAAAACCCAACCCAAAACCTACTCAAAAAACTGCCCCAAAAACCAGCCCCAAACACAAAACGCCAACCCTAACCTAGAACCTACCATAAAAGCAGCCCTCGAATTTGTATGTCAATATCTTTTCATCCACCAACTTGCTATAAATAATGGAAAACAAAAATTATCTTCCAAAACCTATCCAAAATTTGTCAAATGCTAAAATATACATCCAAACACAAAACCCTGACCAAAAACAATCCCCAAACACCAAACCCAGAACCTAAATCACACCCAAAACCCAAACCAAGAAAAGAATCCTAACCCATTACCTAATCCAAATTCCCAATATCAAACCTGAACCTAGACCCTAACCTCAAATAACAAGACCTTGACCCAAACTCAACACCTAAAACCCCCAAACCATAATTAAAAGCATACCCATGATCTGCCAAATGCCAACATGCAGATCCAGGCCCAAAATCCAGTCTAAAAAACAAGAGTAAAAAACCACTTCCAATGAGACATGGTTTGCCTTGTCAAGGAAGTGTTTTCTTTGCTTTGGAAAAGATAGTTTTGTTTAAATGAGACACTGCACAGAGAATAAGACACTTCACCGAGTTTAAGACGTCAAAAAATTCTGGGTATTTGGGATATTCTGTAATGTAATTATGCAAATATAGCTATCCAATTATTTATACACGCATTGAGGCTGAAACTGAAATACAGACCCATAGGCAGATTCATGTGTTAAACTCGGCCATTTGGTACGGGATGTGTGGTGACTGAGTTGGACCTATGACCTTAACCTTAGTTTGTTGGGGGACGGTTTGCCTAAGTTTTGTTAGAGAAGTCTCATAGTATTACGAAACTAAACACTATAAGCAAAAATCAAAATGAAATCCCAAGTGTAACAGTAAATCCTACGCCAAAAACAGTGTCAAGGATTAAAGTCCAACGCGGCAACCACAATTGACCAGACCTCTAAACCAGATTTTAAATCATGACAAAGATTAAACCTTTAACCACCAGAATTTGTTGCTCTTTCTTTGCCTACTTCAATATGTATTATTATTTCTCTCAACAGCTAAAAGTTTTATGTAGCTAAGTGTTCTATATTGAATGAATATGTGATTGTAAAACTCAACGAATCCATGACCTTTTGTATGTGAATATTTATTCATTGAACAGTGTGCTATATCTAATCAAAAAACCAAAATGAGAATTGAAAAGCAAAACATAGGTCCTAACCATGAGAATTGATTTTATCATTCCATAAAATAAAAATAGCATTTGTCATTAATCAAAAATCCAACAAAGCAAACAAAACAATCCAAATAATCCAAATAAAAACAATACTAAAAATGCAGAAAAAAACTTAAATATTAGAAATCGATAAATAGAATAAAGAGAATGAATTAGGATTTTTGACATACCTCAAGAAATAATACTAACCTTAATAATGATGTAGGAAATTAGAGCAAATGAAATTGAACCTGGAAATTTAAACATGGGGATTATTCACTTGTGAATTGAAAACAATCTGGATACTTGCAAATAAGCATAACAATTGGACGAGAAAACTCATCCAAAAACAAAGTCTGTAAATTCGAAAAAAACATGAAACAATTCTCTAACCTGGAACCAAAGAACACGATTGACTGTGATTCATTTCATCTCCAAGCGCCGACTATATATAGCGGTATGATTGACCAAAAAGTAACGTGTGTTTAGATTATTATTATTATTATTAATTAGGAGTATATTATGGAATTTACAACCCAGAAATCATCCAAACGGCCAAAAATATATTAAAGTAATGCAAATCAATTACCTGATTTTTTTGGGGAAGCCGCAAATCAAATAAAATCTGTAGCAATGCATTGAGTGAATCCCTCAAATTCCACAATTCAATTGCAACGCCAATTCTAGCATTTACTCCAGCAGGTGAAGCCGAGGATTTCGCTAGCATTTACTCGGATTACACAGAAGAATGAATTTGCATCGCCATTGAACTGCATAGCCTCTAACCGGCCGGGTTGTGTTTGGATGGATCCGCATACTGCAAAAGAAAACTTGAAGGTACTGGATACACGTGTTTCTAACGGCTGGGGTATATTGGGGACCACAAATTCCATAACATAGATAAATACACTAATCATTCATGTGCTATTCATGAAACCACATAGATTACCACTACTACAATTATAAATGTTCAAAGGGACCAGTGCTGGTATTAATTGCAATTACCACAATATCCCCACAATTTCAATCAGCCATAAGATTACTACGACATTCACAAAGCCATAAGATCACTACAACATTCACAAAATCACAATTTCAATCTGCATGCCCTAGGTGGTCCTCCTCTTCTTCAATATTGGTTGTTCCATGGTATTCTTCTTCAGGGTCCAATTCAGCTTCGCTATCTTGCTGACGCTCACGCTCATGCTGCAACATGTATCGAGCAAAAAGATCTCCTGGACAAATAGTAGTTCCCCATGAAGCAGGTGGCGGGTTGTCTCCATTATCCCGCGGCCCCCATGGCCATGGAAGTGGCAAGTCCGGCACCGGTAACAATTCCAGTTCAGGTACTTTCTCCTCCTCTTCTGCAGGTTGCTCCTCCTCAAGTCTATCGTCACACACAAATTGTTCAACCGGAACACCGGGCCAGATGTGTCCTTGTGGAATTTCCCCACGAATCTGAAGAACCATCCTTGCAAAAAGCCAGAAAACATAGGCAACACTTTGCTTTGACTTGTTGTTTGCAGGAATAGCAATGTCAAGATGGCGGAATGAGGAATCACTGCCACACAATGCAATGACAGGGATGTTGAGGTCAGCCAGGAATGCTTCTTGGATAGCCAGGCGATCAGTTGTTGGATCAGCAACGATTAAGAGGCAAGGCTTAAGGGATGAATCATGGAGTCGTTGAGCAAAAGTCTTGGGACTGCGACGTCCATCTGCAATGACAGTAGCACCAATTACTTCAGCAAATTTTGAGACTGGCCTTAGGATCATCGATTGCAACTACGGCCCTCGCAGCCAACAAGGTTTTCTCCCATGTTCTGACCAGATTAAAACCCACATCCTCGCCAAAGTAGAAGGCGTAACGCAAGTTACCATCATCTTCATTGTTCACCAAGTGGAGTTTGTTCAAATACATCCGCCGGAGGTCAGCGCGGAGGGTTTGGAGTATCATCGTGTTCCTGAATTTAGGGTTTCTAGAGAGACTACCGAGGATTTGGAGTATCATCGTGTCAGCCATGACTGTAGGGTTTCTAGAGAGACTACCGTAAGGGATTCTATATATATACTCCAGTCTCAATTTATTTGCAACACTTCGAACGACGTGCAAAATATCATCTCTTTTAAAATCACTTTAATTTCAAATTGGTAGAGTAATAAAAAGTAAAAATTACACCATTTAAAAATATATGAAAAGATCTACAAAACAAGATACGACAAGAATATTTTATTTTATCAAATGGTCAACCAAAACGAGTAAACAAACAAAAATTATCGAGAGACCAGAATAGTAAACGTGGCATTCTTTCTGGGACGGAGGGAGTATATATTACTACCTCCGTCCCACTATATTTGTCCAGTTTTGACTTTTGGAACTGTTCATCTAAGGACTCATCAAATTCTCTCAATGTGTAAGCCTAAATATAGTCATGTGTGATCTTGTTTGATTTGTCTTAGCATATAGATTATTAATATATAATTTCTATAATTTTTTAATATACAAATAACAAGATAAAATGGATTAAAGAAGAGCATTGGATGGTGTATAAAAATGAAAGTGGACAAATACTCTGGGACGGAGGGAGTATATACGAATCGACATACTCCATAAAACGTAATTAACTTAATTTTTTGAAATATAAATTGTGGTAGAAAATTCAAAGCATTTGCTAGGCACTTCATCATACTCAATAATAGTGAAAGAAGAACACTAAGGGGCTGTTTGTTTCAGCCTCTTAATGGTTCAGATGTCTGAATGGTTCAGCACTTAATGGTTCAGACTGTTTGTTTCAGCCTCTTAATGGTTCAGATGTCTGAATGGTTAAGAGATTTGCCTCTGAATGGTTAAATATTATACAGAGTCTGAATGGTTAAGACCTCTTATCTGAATTGATCAAATATTTAATTCTGAGGGGGCGTTTGGTTCGGGGTAAGGGAATGGGAAACGGAATAGGATTTCCCCATTCCCTCTTTGTTGTGGTTTAGTTTAAAAAAACAATCATTCCCTTTGGTTTTGGATTCCCTGTTTTAAGGCTTTTCTCAACTTTCGGTTTTCTCACAGCTCCCCTTCCCCAACCTTAGATTTTCAACTCCTCTTCTTCCTCGCCGAGTCGCCGCCACACTCCTTCCGTCCGCCACAGGTATGTCCTCCCCCTCCCTTCCATCTTCGATTCCCTCCTGCTGCAAATTTGTTAAAAAAATCCATTTTTTTCTCCGATTTGAGGCAAAATCCGTTTTCTTCTGCAAAATCCGTTTTCTTCTTCAATCTCCGATAAACAAGCTGCAAAATCTGTTTTCTTCTTCTTCTCCGATTCCCTCCTGCTGCAAAATGCTGCAAATTTGTTAAAAAAATCTACTGCAATTTGTGTGGATTTTGTTTAATTTTGTGTTTGATAAAATAAATAAGTTTTAAAAAAAAATTAGTCATAGCTGTTCAAATTTTTTTACAGATTTTTTACAATTTTTTTTTTTTACAGATTTTTTACAATTTTTTTTACAGATTTGTTACAAATTTTTTTCACAATTTTTTTGTGATGTGTGAATTTTGTTTATTTTTAACAAATTAATCATATTTGTGTAAAAAAATTTGATTCCCCTGATTCGAACCAAACAAGAATAAGGGAATTCTGTTCCCTTTCCTATACTGAACCAAACAGACAAAGGAATTCAGGGGTAATCATTTTCATCCCCTTGATTCCCTTTCCTGTTTCCTTTCCCTTTCCTCTGCATGAACCAAACGCCCCCTGAATAGTTAAACAATATACTAGCTCTTAATGGTTCAGACCTCTTACTGGTTAAGCACTTAATGGTTCAGACCTCTTACTGGTTCAGCACTTATCTATTCAGAAGTTGCCAAACAGCCCTTAAAATAAAGTGTTCCAAAATACGGAGTACTTAGTATAACAAATTCTTTTCTTTTAAAGGAGAGTGAAATTTTTCTTGATAAAGTACAATAATTGTTACTTTTTCTCATTGTTTGAAGCTCAAATAACAAAAAGGTAAACAAAGATCCAATTGAAGAATAATAAGAACAAAAAAATGAATTTCTTATTCTGGGCTTCAATAGAATGCTCATTGTCAATATGACAAAGACTCATCTATTACAACATCTATGACCATATCAGTTCCCTTAAATCCTATCAAAATTCCCGAAACTATACCCTCCCATCACATCCGTGCCACAATATTTCATACAAATATCATCATAAAAATTTAAAAACAAAAGAAATCTCAGCAATCGTTTTTTTTTGAGAAAAACAAATAACAAATGGAGACCAACCAAAAGAAACCCCAAAGAAGTTTCAAACCTTAGCACTGAAAATGTCGTTAAGTCGCTGATGATAATTAGCTCCAACAGCCATCGCCCTCTGCTCCTCCATCCACGGGCGGATTTGCTTGAGAACAATTGGGGGCCGATGCCCCCAACTAAACTTTGGTGTTAAACTAATTCTTTTTTTAAAAACAAAAAATTAATATACTTTGGGCTTCATGCCCCCATCTAAAATTGGGATTGACCCCATCTCAAATTATTTACTCCCTACAAAAATGAATGTAGCCTTATTTAATTAAGCTAATTTTTAATTTTTTGTTTAATCTTATTGAAGTAAAGTGTATTTTGTTGCATTTAATTTATTTTTTAGAATAAAATTTTACATTATCGATTAAATAAAATTTTACATTCAATAAATATTTAAAATAAAATTTATTATTTTTGTCATTACAAATTGTCTATTTTTCTAAAAAATCAGGGGCGCTGCCCCGACCAATTGTGCCCCCATCTACCAGAATTTCTGGATCCGCCACTGCCTCCATCACTGTGTGTTTGATGTGCGCACTGTGATTTTGATGAAACGATGCTATATTATTACTGTAAAACTCGTTCTGCCATTGCAAAATCCATGTGTCACTCAAGCCATTAGAGAAATTTGTCTATATAAAGAGAATTCTGCTAATATCGAACAAAACTAAAAATCAGAAAATAATCAATTTGACAAATATAATACAACTTGTCTATTTAATAGATAGATTTTCACTAGTAATAGTTTACCAAGTCATTCCTATTCAATTCATTATTGATCCGATGACAGCTTTATTGGTCTGGTCGGCTATTGATGCAGAACATGGAATTACAACTTTTTGCCACAAATTGATGGAGGTCAGAATAAATAACAATCCAAAAAAAATTAAATATCTAACACTAGAATCAAGCGCTAGTGGAAAGAAAATAGAGATGAAGAAGCGACAATAGAGGATTCAATCGAAGAAAGAAGAGGGGATGGTATTAATCGATGGAGTAACACGTGGCTGGCTATTACGTGTCAAAAAACAGGCCATAACAAATGCCACATTCTGAGAGTATAGAGTCTGCTTTTTAAATATAAACGATACTCTCCCAATCAATTTTTTTTCCAATTTGACTTGGCATGAAAATTAAGAAAAACTAAGAAGTGCAAAGACTTTTCATGTTTGTCCTTGATGTGATGGAATAAAATGAATAGACGATGTAAGTGAAAGTTTAATGAAGCACTCATTACCAAAAGTGCCAAAATAAGAAACGAGAAATAATTTTTTGGACGGTCCAAAAATAAAAGTGAGAAAAAAATGAATGGATGTAAAAGCATATTCTATTCAGCGAATGTAGGCCCAATTCTCACGTTGGCTTAAAAAAAACCCTGCTCTAGCAGCCTCCAGTCCTCCATGCATCATGTGACGCAGCTTTCCAACGCCCCTTTGCACACCGTCGTCTACCGTTCTTCTCCTCCGTCCATCCATTGAGCACAGTCGCATCTACAAGTCTCCATTTTTGTCCAAGAATGGATGTCGAGGTATGCAATGTTTTTTGTCAATTCTTTTTCCATTTGAAAGTGTATGACTTTGTCAATGGGGATTCTGGTTTTTTTGCCCACTAAAAATGGATGATTCTGATTTTTTTTTTGTAGTAGATTTTTTCTTTTGTAAATTATTTCTTCATGTTCTTTGTTGTCATTTATTTTCTCTATGATCTCAGCTAATTGTAGCCGTGTATATGAACCTGTTTTTTTAAACTTGAGAGAAATACATGTTCTTTATTGTCGATTATTTTCTCCATGGTTTGAGCTAATTGTAGTCTTGTACCTGTCCCATAATTATCCTCTCTTTACCCAAAACGAAGTAAAATTTTAAGTTTTTTTCAATTCTTTTTGTTTAAAAATTCGTATATATACAAAAAATAAAACGTACATATTTAAAAATTACATCAAATTTCTACAAAACAAGTGGGTGACAACAATATTTTATTTTATCAAATAATCAACGAAAATGCACAAATGAACAAAAGTTCTCGTGATTTTGGAATAGTGAAGAAGGAACATTATTCCGGGAGTATATGATTTAAAGTTGAATATCTCTTGTTTTACTCCGCTAGAAAAAGTATAAAAAAAAATCAGGCCCGGACCGGTTGCAAACAAATGACGATTCCGGTTCCGGTCCTAATCGGGTCCAATCTGGTTTTGGACTAGTGCACACCCCTATACACCACCACTCAGTTGCAGGTTTCAGGTATATGGGTCCTTTTTTTCTTTACGTAACCATTTGTTCTGATTTATGAATGATACAGGGGGGGATTATGACTTCGCGGCAACTCACTCCAGAGGAACTGGAGAGGAAAAAAAAGAAAGAAGAGAAGGTATACGAGCTATAAATGACAATCTTGTGTGTAATGTATCATTTACAAAGTGCACGCATATTATTGGAACAAGCATGGTATCACTGTTATGTATGTCATATTATGTTAATTTGGTGATGTTAGTTTTGAAAGATCTAGGTAAGTTTTATAATGCTACATGTTTTTGGTTGTGGTAGTTTTAGTTACAACATTTATTCTAAGGAATTTTTCAGGGTTTTCATCCATAGTTCTGATCAAAGTTAACTCTTTTCTTATCTGCTTCATAGGCTCAAGACAAAGAACGGAAGAAACTTAAGGCTGTGCAAAAGGCGGAAGCTTCTAAGTTTCAAGTATGTCCCAAGACCTTCCCATCTTATCTGTCACAGTTGATTCTTGTTTTGGTGTGCACATGATAGAATGCCTATAAAATTGATGTTTGTTATCAATGTACTATTCTTTGCTTCTGTTCATCTGCACTCAGACAAAGCCAACTTCTGGCGCTGAAAAGGCAGTGAAAAAGAATTCTAAAAGAGACACTAGGGAAGAAAACCCCGAAGATTTTCTTGATCCTGAAACCCCGTTGGGACAGAAGAAAAAGCTTTCCCGTCAGATGGCGAAGTCATTCAATCCTAATGCTGTGGAGAAATCGTGAGTTTGAAATTTTGTTTGTGCTTTATTTAATTTTCGAATTTAGATGACAAGGTGATTTTTAATTTCTGTCAGGTGGTACCAGTGGTGGTCAAAATCTAATTTCTTCGTAGCTGATCCAAAGAGTTCCAAACCTCCGTTCACGATTGTGAGTATTCCTTAGGGGCATTAAACTGTTGCCTTTTGATCGTTGCAAAGTTGTTAATCTTTCTTTTCGCTAACTGCAGGTTCTACCACCACCTAATGTCACTGGAGAACTACACGTTGGCCATGCCCTGACCATTGCCATCCAGGTGCTATATACTCCCTCCGTTCTCAAAAACACTTCCTCTTCCATTTTTTTCACTTCCAACAAAACACTTCTCCTTTCTATTAAAAAACCACTTTTACCCTTACTTTTTCATACCCTACCTATCACATCATACTTTTTCTCTAATAATAAATCCATCACATCTTACTTTTACCCATCACATCAGGGGCAAAATTGGAAGTCAACTATAATTTTACACTTCCTTATTTTGCCTTATAGTCAAAGTGGGAAGGCTTTTTCCAAACGGAGGGAGTAGGACCTTTCCTTGGTAGCTAATTTTGTTTTCCTTTTGTTCAGTTGTTCACTGATTCACTAGTTTTCCGTGTTTACAGGATACAATTATACGATGGCGAAGAATGTCTGGGTATAATGTGTTGTGGGTTCCTGGTACAGACCATGCAGGCATTGCTACACAGGTGGGAATTTTGTATTATTACTGGAACCCCTTTATCCTTCAAAAAATATACCTAACTTTGAACATTGGATCTGCACGTCTTTGCTGTTTTCTGTTCACAGCCTTCTTCTGATATTTACGACAAAATGCTGCTTATAGGTGAAAGTGGAGGAGTGGCTTATGGACAGAAAGCAATTGACAAGGCATGATATTGGCCGTGAAGAATTTGTATCTGAAGTGAGTTTGAGTTTTTCATTTTAGTACCGATAAACATTTTGGTACAGAAATGTTTTCTGTATAACTCATGCCTTTTGCCATTACAATCAGGCTTTGAAAATTTTTCTTCTTATGTAATTCAAGAAGATCGTTAACCTTTTTGTATTGAAAGAGTTTGTTAATGTTTTGGAAATAGGCTTATAAGTGGAAGGAGAGATTTGGTGGAACCATTTTGAAACAACTTCGTATATTGGGTGCGTCCCTTGACTGGTCTCGTGAGGTGAGAGTTAATCTTGAACGTAGGGCATGAGTCATGCATTCGTAATTTATGTAAACCTTGCTACTTTAACTGCTTGAACTTGGAAAACAGTGTTTTACTATGGACGAAAAAAGGTCCAGAGCTGTTTCCGAGGCTTTTGTGAGGCTTTACCAGGAAGGCCTTATATATAGGTATGCAATATTGGCTTTCTCTCCAGTAATATTACCCTGATATAAGATGTCTTTCTCAAACAAGACTGTTGTAGTGTCCCGTTGCCAATTTAAAATTTTGTTCTTCAACCTAGGGATCTTCGGCTAGTGAATTGGGATTGTGCCTTGAGGACGGCAATATCTAGTGAGGAGGTATGCTCTTTTTGAATGATGCTATTTGATGCCCATTCTACCTTCCACGTCCAATTCTTCCTTCATTACAAGGCCCAGCTTCGCTAAACTTGCAATGGCATCCTGCTTGTGAGGAAAGAAAGAAGAGCGGCAAGGTTGGGCTATGCTGGCCTAGAAACCACCACCAAGGATTCCAATCCCAATAAGTCTGAACAGACTGAGATTAGTGATTAGTCCTTTTATACCTGCTGCCTTGCTCTTTTTCTGTCTATTTCCTTTAAGCCACTCATAGTTTAGGGAGCTGCTATCGGTGTTGGAAACATCCTTAGTTTCTCAATTCATTCTTTGGAAGTGTTATTAAGCTATGAGTGCAACTTCCTATCATAAGTCAATTTTTTCTGCAGCTCCAAAGGACCTGCGCCTCTATCCTGTCGTGGAAATTTCATTTACTGTTATTTAGCTATGAGTGCAACTTATACTTATTTAAAAACGATTGGTGTTTCTAGGTGGTTAAAGTTCAAATTAAAGAGAGAACACCATTAAAGGTTCCCGGATATGAAAATCCTGTTGAGTTTGGAGTTTTGACATTATTCGCTTACCCTTTGGAAGGGGAATTAGGAGAGATTGTGGTTGCCACTACCAGAGTGGAGACAATGCTGGGAGATACAGCTATTGCCATACATCCTGAAGATCCAAGATACCATCATCTCCATGGGAAATTTGCAATTCATCCCTTTAATGAGAGGAAAATTCCAATAGTTTGCGATCCAATAGCTGTCATGGAATTTGGGACTGGTGCTGTAAAGGTATTAAATGAACTTGTTCCTATCAATCTTTCTCATACCCGTAGTGATGTTAGTTCTAATGGAATCAACATGCTTCATTTCCAGATTACTCCAGCACATGATCCTAACGATTTTGAGGTTGGTAAACGCCATAATCTGGAGTTCATCAACATTTTTACCGATGATGGGAAAATTAATGCCAAGGGGGGTCCAGAATTTAGCGGAATGCCACGTTTTGAGGCTCGCGTGGCTATCATTGAAGCTTTACGAAGAAAGGTGATTTGATAGCTTACCCCTGCATACAGTATGACATGTAAAGCTCTACGATTATTGAATCTGGTCTGATACTTGTATTTGTTGGGCTTCAATATCGTATGCCAACGTTTGCATGATCTACTCTTGATCAATTCCAATGAATGAAATGTGTTTTATTTTGCAGTGACCTTAATTATGTTATTATTGTTAGAAATGTCAAACAAAGGAATAGTGTCAAACAAAGGAATTGATTGTAATATCTTGATAATATCCTTGATTGG